GGAGGAAAAAGTTGCGGATGTTGGCTTCGCATTAAAAATGGGCTGGTCTGATTAGTTGTTAAATATCTATATCTAGCTCATAGTTACTGGCTATGCAGTTTAGAGTATTCCTGTGTTAAAAATAGTGCATACCTTCAGAAGTCATTCTCCAGTCAGCAAACCATGGCACCTATGTACAACGCCTTCTTGAAGCAGACATGAGGACCACTTCAGCAAATTTGGGCCAAATGATCAAGAGTATTTGACAAAATAAGCTAATTGCATGCCCACCCACCAACCGTCATTGGTGACCAGTGGCCGTGTGAATCTCGTACTTAAGCCATGGGCCATATGCTGAGTTGGTACGGGGACGCCCCTGCACGGCGTTAGCTGGCTTAATTCGGCGCCACATGTTTCTGCCGCCCGACTGTTTGAGGGTGGCTCACAACTGTGAGTTTCATTACCGTAAAAGGGTGATATGGAGGAAAGCGTGGTTGTAGAATCACGCTAGATTCTCGAGGCCTACCGTTTCTGAGAGATCCGGAACACATTGCTGGCATAAAGCTCAGCCTTCATGGCGCCACTTTTCCTCATTTTTAACACGCCTGGGGGTCAAATTGACCCCCCCCCAAAGGCTTTTCCAGAATGGTTTCAGCGCGGCGCGGCGCCAAATTTTCCATAGCTGTGGAAGATTAAATAGCAGGTCGTTTGATGAAAACAATTTATATTTACCTCGTAAGGTCGCTGATCTATGGCAGGTCAAAGTCAGGCCATGGTTTCAGCGAAGCCAATTTCTTGGGAATTGTTCAATCTGATGCAACAACGGAGTGTTAGACACATCCATACATCTCTGAAATGCTTTCTTAGACAGCAAAACAACTGAATGAGAAAACTGCATTGAGCTAGGGTCAGGTATGAAGGTCAGACCAAGGTCAAAGCCAACCTGCTTTATTGCTCTAGGTTTGCTGTATGGGATAGTTGCTGGTGATCATTTCAAATTTATGAATAGCAAGGACCGCATTCTACGTTTTCCAAGGACTTCTTTGAGGCAAGTATAGGCAATTAACCTAAAATGAGCCAGGTCAACATTTGGTTTTTCGGAGCACACTGCCTAGCGTAATCTTTGTCGCTTATTCAAATGTAAAACTCATAGCAGTCTTGGATGATTTTGGTCACCATAACCTTCAAAAGGTCAAACAAGGTCACTTATCTTAAAGCATGACCTTTTGCTTAGAAACAGTTATCTATGTTCTGGGGCACTTTGGAGACCAACCTGGAGTTTGTTCTTGTTTGACCTTATTTGACCCAAAGGTCATGACTTAGGAACCTAAAACTTTGACCTAAGTGAGTTCACGTACAGGTCAACATACCCAGTGAATTTGGTGCATCTAGCTCGCGTAGTTCTCGAAATCTCAGTGGGAGAGCTCAAATTGACTCCCTCCCCCCCCCCCCCCCCAACCAAAGGGCATCCAGCCGGCCACCCAGGCGCGTGTGAAAACAAAAAAAGAGCTCAATGATGCGTTTTTGCAGCCAAATAATTGTCTTCTGCAACCTCTGGAGTAGCGTTTTCAACGTGGAGGGCGGAACAGTGTCTTAAGACGTCTTACGATGTCTGTAGGAACAGGGGAAGAGGGAGGGGCCAAGGGGCCATGCCTACCATTGGTAGAGGTGAAAAGTCAGGAATGGTAACTGCTCTCCCCTATATAAGCCCAGTTTTCCGACTAGTTGCGTTTGGTTTACTCTTGTGCTACCTTAAAAATGCATGCCGATCTACCCATTTCACCAGCCATTAAACTGCGCTGAAGAGGGCTGTCTTGTGTGTTGAGAACGCGCAAATAAAAAGCCAGTGGGCACAGCAGGGAGGTCGCTGGTCCCACAGTGGCCAGTGGCTTAATGACCCCACAATGACCAATGGTTTCTCAGTGGGCAAAAGAACTCTGGGGAGCTGAAACAACCCATGAACAGCCAGAAGAGCACTGTACACACAGAGATTCCTGAGCAATCATTTGAACCCTTAACAGCCAACAAGCCCCTGCTTAGTTCGAGATCCCCACAATGGACAGCATGAAATTTGAAAAGCGGTAGAGATACTAAGTGACGAAGGGGGCCCTTCAGCGACCGAAATGTCCCTAGTTACCAGGAGCTCACTGCTGTGGACAGCCCGAGGGTTCTAGGGTATCGTTTAAGCTTCTGTTTTGGTAAGGAAGCTCTCACCTTATTTTATCATTATTACTTTTCGCACTTAGGGGCTGAAGGGACCTTCCGTCGAAGTTCAGGATTCTAACTGGTTTCATTCTAGCGAGCCTCCGGACGATCAGGAGCCCTCAGATGACAATAGCATACATCATTTCACTTCCTGGCGCAGGAAAAACTCTGACCAAAACAGCCAGCTCTGGTTCAACGCGGGCCCCTTTGGACTCACAACGGACCCCTTACTGGCGTACGAGGTTAAATAATTTGCAAAGAGGCTCCATTTCAGGTGATCGGCCACGAGCGGAACCGGGGCAGAGGTCGACACTGGGGCCCTCTGGCATGGGCCTTCCATCGTCTCATTGTGGAAACTTTCAGTATCATTTCTCATGTATCCTTGCGTTGTTCGTGTGCTTCGACCAACACAAGATGCCGTCTAACATTCGGGGCGCCGTCCCGAGCTATCCTTGCCCAGCAAGTGATCCTCTCGACAACATAGGATCCCTGTTATGCACTGTGAGTTCCCTGACTAACTCAGCCCCTGATCGCTCATCGCCTCAGACACCAGAGGTCCTTTAAGTGGCATTTACGAGACTAGACCTTGTCCTGCTTGAGAGCGATCGCAAGGCTGACACTGGACTGATTGTGTTTGGCGTTCTTGAACTACGAACGACATCCCGAGGTCCCTTGGAATCGGGACTCTGATGGTGCTCTGGTGCTCTGATGGAACGTTGAAAGTCCAGATGGCCTTCAGTGGCTAGAATGGCCAGTGCCCCTTCCCCAGTGTCCTGCCCAGCACTACTGCCCCTGGCCGCCAGCAAATACTCACTGAACGGCCCGAGGGGCACCAGGGTTTCCAAATGGGACCTACCGGGCACCCAGATTGCGGACTTTGTTGTTGTCATCTATTTTGGTAAATAATCTCTTTTTGGGCGTTTCCCATTCATTGCAGCTACTTTTCGCGCTGCGCAAGCCTAACAGCCTTTCCAAAGGGCGCTGGTGTCGCTGAACCCACATGCTTTGGATCTTCCCGAATCCCCGCATTTCAGGTTTTCTGGGGTCCGGAGAGTCCGGACGCCAACCGAACCTCACTGGAGCCATGATTTTGTCAACAGCGAAGACTTACTTGAAAGCAAACGCACTTACTTCTCTTGGAAGAGTATGGAATGGGCTTTGGCCTTGATATCATGGGTACGAAATGGCTCACTCAAAAGTAGGGAATGGGCTTCAATTCACCAATAAAGAACGGGTTTCAGATTGGCAGCGATTTTGTAATTTTGTGACGTCATCGTACAGCTAGAAGGGTCAACTGGTGAATTCGCATAATCAGCTGACAGCTGGTCCGCAAGGTAGCGCGTCAGCTGTAGGAGTTGGGTGTCGCGGTGATAGGTACAGATGAGAGTCATACGATCATGTTACGGCGCATAAAGCTAATTGAAGGCAGTAGAGATATTCATAAATGATTGTTGCACATACAGATTCCAGATGTTTGGTCAACGGTCTACACTGAGCTGATTCAGGCCGTGTTACGTTATGGGATGCCTACGTCTACAGTATCGACTGTCCATATCCGTATCTTCCCTGAATCATCTTGTGTAAACCTAGCTGTTAAAATACGCTATAATCTGCACATAGATGCTATAATCGCCTTATCATTAAATCTTTAATAAATCCTAAATCGCTAATAGTTAAATACGCTATATAGTCTGCATATACACTATTGTATCAACCACAGGAGTGTGGTGCAGTATGTGATAGACCATAAAGCCTATACAATCTCTATTAAATGTGAGGTGCCTGCCACCATTGTTTTCCCATTTTGACTAGCAGCGGCCAAACCAATGAGATCAAAATACCCGTTTTGGCTTGTGTTAAGCTAGTATTGCAGTGGTGAACAAATGTGTGCTTTAGAGTTAGTTGTTTTCTAATTGACTGTGCACATCATCATGCACTCTTTTCAAGCACTGGAAATGTCAAAGACATATGGATTCATTATTAACATGCATTTTGTTGGATCATTTTGCCTCACCATGAAATTTTTCCTAACCAGCCAGCTTCTCAGGTCTGGGACCCCTGTCAATTTTGTTGGGCCTCCACACTTTGCTCTTTGTATGAACCCTGAATGTGAATGGCAGAGTGTAGTCCCAACAGATTAAGGTTTGAGAGTGGCCTGGATAGGGTGAAGCGGCTAAATGTACCCTCAAAAGTTGCCCATTGAAATTTGACCCCCTGCTTTTGAGTGGGCAGGAGCTTCCCAGCTAAAAATAAAAATATGCCACCAGAGATAGCCATTATGTACCTCCATGGTCATTTTATTTTATTTATTTTCATATACTATGCTATGTTTATCCTAAATCAAAGGGATATTCCACTCAACAGGTTACAATCATTAGTCACAGTCAGAACATCACAAAGGCAGCTTACATGACCTTGGCTATCAGAGTTGCTATGTGATAACTATGCATGCACAACCCATCCCACCTCTGAAAGGGAAAGCAATATATGCAGGGAGCAGTTGAAGCCACCTGTTCCTAGCACTGTTGACAGGTCATGAATTAAAACTCAGTAGCAAACCTTTTTACATAACACAAGCTGCTCTCAAATGTCTTGTTGTATATAACAGATGTAGATAAGGTGGTGGGGTGGGTGGTTGGGGATCATCTGCCCCTCCAATACATTTACAGCAGACAATGGGCAAGTTTGCCAGAATTTTGCTTGGGCTGGCAGTATTTCAGAGACAGTGGTGACTGTATGAACCCTGTTGTTTTGTGATGTCATGTAATGTTGGTGTGCTTTTTATACATTATGTCTAGGCTTGGTTATAGTGGCTCAATTGCTGTTCTATGCTCATGAAAAAGTGCTTGTTCCAGAGTCTTTACCATGCTTCTCTTTCTCCAGAAGTTGAATTTTAAATCAAGTACCAAAGAGGAGAGGTTTGAAAGATGTATGATGACAAAAAGCATGCATATATGATACATTAACTTTTATTTTTACAGGCTTTAAACAGTGAAGTAGCTGTCTAGGGAGCTAGAATGGGACGACTTATAGTAGCTGAAAAGGCCTTGGAGTCCAGCCCCAGGACTCTGGCATCCTCAGGGGCCAAGTATGGCCTTATTGTTGGCCAGGTAAGGTTATCTGGAGTGTTACTGGTGGGGCTGAAACATAAAGCAAAGTGTTTTCATCAAATGTATTTTGCCTGTGGTTAAGTGAGATACATATGATCCACTAATTCATTCCAAGCTGTTGGTGTATAGAATTTTCACATCATAGCATTCTGGGACACAAATAAGTTCCCTGGACACTTTGCTATAGACCTTGGTCGAAAGTTATTCATTGAATATAAAGACCAGAAAATTCAATCGCTACAATTGTTCTCATTTGTTCATTTAGCTTGTTGCTAGCGAATTGCATTCCCACTAACAGGCAAATGACCCTGGTAAAGTATGACTGTTGCTAACATGAAGTGGCTTAACTTGACCATGTCATAGCCCCAGAACACTGTCAGTCGGGCTCTGGTGGTGCACCCGTCCTTGTCACAGCTGCCCCTGATCATGACCTGTCCTGTGACCTCAGAACACCACCGGGCGGGCTCTGGTGGTGCACCTGTCCTTGTCACAGCTGCCCCTGACCGTGACCCGCCCTGTGACCCCAGAACACCGCCGGGCGGGCTCTGGTGGTGCACCCGTCATTGTCACAGCTGCCCCTGACCGTGACCCGCCCTGTGACCCCAGAACATCGCCGGGCGGGCTCTCGTGGTGCACCCGTCATTGTCACAGCTGCCCCTGATCATGACCTGTCCTGTGACCCCAGAACACCGCCGGGCGGGCTCTCGTGGTGCACCCGTCATTGTCACAGCTGCCCCTGACCGTGACCCGCCCTGTGACCCCAGAACACCGCCGGGCGGGCTCTGGTGGTGCACCCGTCATTGTCACAGCTGCCCCTGACCGTGACCCGCCCCGTGACCCCAGAACACGGCCGGGCGGGCTCTGGTGGTGCACCCGTCATTGTCACTGCTGCCCCTGACCGTGACCTGCCCTGTGACCCCAGAACATGGCCGGGCGGGCTCTGGTGGTGCACCCGTCATTGTCACAGCTGCCTCTGACCATGACCCGCCCCGTGACCCCAGAACACGGCCGGGCGGGCTCTGGTGGTGCACCCGTCATTGTCACAGTTGCCTCTGACCATGACCCGCCCCGTGACCCCAGAACACGGCCGGGCGGGCTCTGGTGGTGCACCCGTCATTGTCACAGTTGCCTCTGACCATGAGCCGCCCCGTGACCCCAGAACACGGCCGGGCGGGCTCTGGTGGTGCACCCGTCATTGTCACAGCTGCCCCTGACCGTGACCCGCCCTGTGACCCCAGAACACGGCCGGGCGGGCTCTGGTGGTGCACCCGTCATTGTCACAGTTGCCTCTGACCATGAGCCGCCCCGTGACCCCAGAACACGGCCGGGCGGGCTCTGGTGGTGCACCCGTCATTGTCACAGCTGCCCCTGACCGTGACCCGCCCTGTGACCCCAGAACACGGCCGGGCGGGCTCTGGTGGTGCACCCGTCATTGTCACAGCTGCCCCTGACCGTGACCCGCCCTGTGACCCCAGAACACGGCCGGGCGGGCTCTGGTGGTGCACCTCTCGAGGACGCCTCCCGAGCCGACCGACACGGCGAGTGTTCGGCCGACGGGAACCGTCAGCGATGTCTGGGTCGCCAAGCACGCCAAGCAGGTGAGCCCGCAATTGCCAAGCATGCCAGGCAGATGAGCCCGCCATTGCCAAGCATGCCAGGCAGGTGAGCCTGGCATTGTTAAGCATGCCAAGCAGGTGAGCTTGCTGTTGCCAAACATGCCAAGCAAGTGAGCCCACCATTGCCAAGCATGCCAGGCAGGTGAGCCTGGCATTGCTAAGCGTGCTGAGCGGGTGAGTTTGTTGTTGCTAAGCATGTCAAGCAAGTGAGCCCGCCGTTGCCAAGCAAGTGAGTCCGGCGTTGCCAGGCACGCCAAGCAGGTGAGCCCGGCGTTGTAAGGGGTTGAGCCAAGCACTTGTCAAAGTGCGCGGAGCTCGCTGCTCACCTGCCAGCGGCTCAGGCGAGGATGGAGGCTTGCAGCTCGTCTTTCGAGGATGCGTTTTAACATCAGGTTTATTTGGCATTTTGTCTTCTGGAGTTACTGACGAAACAGTCACATCGAGTGAATGACAACGGCTAAAGTACCAGCAGGGATGATAGCACCAACGCACGCGGTTAGTGAAAACGACGGTCGCGTATTAAGATAACCCTGACGCGAAACTGCAGTTGAGTTCAGGGGTCGCAACTGCTGTTGTTAAATGCGATTATTTTGCGTTCAGCTGAGGAGCTATCACTGTCTGGAGATTAATCACAGCTTAAGAGGATTCACTTGGGAGATATAACTTCAATCAGTGAATGTTCGCGCGAAAGGTGGTAGTCGGGGCTGATTATGATGCGATCGCGATCATCGTCACAGTGCGTCGCATATTTGTTGAAGGGTGCACGATGTGAATTGCTGCGCGGGCGCCGGAGATTTTGACGGCCCATCGTCATCCGACGTCAACATTGTCGGCCTGGAATCGATCCCTGACCCGCAACATTCCAGACTCAGCCGACCGGGCTGTGACGTGACTTCGTCTTCCGCAGGTGATCCAGCTGCTGCCGGGCGGGCTCGACATCCTGGGCCTGTTTGTGGTGGGTGGCGCGGACGTTCTGAAGACGCAGGAGGCGCAGCTGCGCACAGCGCTCAATGCCATCTACCGGGCGCTCGACAAACTACCTCAGCTGCACGACCGCGAGGCCGAGGAGCGGCTGGTGGCCGCCGTTGACCCGAGGACCAATAAGTAAGGCCTTCGCGCGCGCACACGGCCGGTGTTCGTTTGGAGTTGTATAAATCTGGCGGTAGAAGTCGGTCGAAAATCTCCTATCACATGCTTACTGTGCTTGGGAAGGGTGGGAAGGGAATCGGTTTTTGTGTTCCATGTGGAAGCCATCCGACTTTTCAGTCAGATCTCATTCATCAAGTGGAACTGTGCTATTTGGTTTGTGCATATTACCACGTTACATCTAAGATTATGCGGTGTAGCATTACATTAATGGAACTGTTTTCATTTGGTGGGGCCTTTTGTTATTTCTGCATGACGTCAACCCCAACCGACATGACTGAACCCTCTGTCATTGGTTGTTGTTATTTTTGACATGCCACCCTGTGGAGCTCTCCAGCCCTGATCCATGCTGGCCCTCTGTCATTGGTTGGCATGCCATGTTGTGGAATTCTTAGGCCGTACCTGGCGTGACCTGACCGGGCCGCCCCCGCGTCGGCAGGGTGACGTGCCGGTCTCTGGAGCTCTCGAACCTTACGGCGTCGCTGCGCCCGGCCGAGTGGCGCTTCCAGGAGGTGCGCTGGCACCGCGTGCAGTCGGAGCTGTTCCTGGACGTGACGGCCGGCGTGGCGCCGCTCGCCGCCGAGACCACCATGTTCAGACAGATCATGGTGAGCGGGCACAGGTTCAGACGTGACGGGCGGTGGCGTGTTCAGACAAGGTGGGTAGGGGCGTGGATAGACAGATTATGGTAGGCAGGGGCGTGTAACACGTCCCTACCAACAATGTCTGAACAGTTCAAACTTTAGTATGCAGGGGTGTGGGCGTGTTCAGATGTGGTATGCAGGGGCGTGGTCAGACATCGGGTAGGGGCATGTTCAGGGCATGCTCGTGGCCATCGCATACAGCCTGCCCCGGACAGGCGTGGATCCGCGAGGATGTAGGATGAAGGAAGACAAAGGATAGGGTGGTTGGGTCAGATAGGGTAATAGTGAGGTCACGATGTAGAGTGCTTCTACAAGGGGCACAGGTGCAAGTCTTCTGTGTTTGGATCGCGCCAGATTTCATGTTTCAGCCAGATGCTAACGAGGATGCTGAACATGGAATGTATGTTGTGAGTGCCCGATGCTGTGTAGATGTCATATTTACGTGCGACGGATGTACCAAGCCTGCAAATAATTTGAGAATGAAGGAAGGAATGTAGCTCGAGTTATAAGGAACCAATCGTCACCTGCGGGCTGGTTTGACACTCGAACCTCGCCATCGCTCCGCCAGATGTCTCTGGAGCCGTTGTTGGCGTCGCTGTCCGACTCAACGTGTCTGGTAGACGGCCGTATGGCGGCGTCCGACGCGCCGCTGGCCGCCGACGAGGGCCGGCCCGGGAAGGGTGCCGGCCGCACCTTCGCGCTGGACCTACTCTATGACACGGTGGGTGGACGGCTTGTGGGATCGGCTCGGCCCGTGGCCCGTCCGGTGTGGTGGGAAGAGACGAAAGCGTGTTAGCGTGGGTGCTGCGCGCCCATGAGCGCCGAGGGCTACATGACGATCGACATGTCGGAGAGACATGGTCTGTAACACGACCGATCAGTATCTCGCTGATAAGGAGAGCGCACGGCCTGGTGCCGTGACATGGGCACAATGGAGGGTGTGGCTGGTGCCTTGACAATGCGGAGCGTGGTCTGGTGCCGTGACAATGCGGAGCGTGGTCTGGCGCCGTGACAATGGAGGAGCATGGTCTCGTGCGGTGACAATGAGGAGCATGGTCTTGTGCCGTGACAGTGTGGGGGGGGGGGGGGGGCATGGTGTCGTTCCGTGACAATGGGGGGCATGGTCTCGTGCCGTGGCAATGGGGAGCCTGCTCATGCTCAAGGCCGCCTAAGTCTGTCACGTGCTAGGGACGCAGTGTCTGATCGCTTAGTATCCCTTGCGACTCATTGAGCACAGGGCTGAGGGGCATCACGGATGGTGGCGCCAGCTGTCTGTGTGGGGCGACGCGTCAGGTGGCGCGGACCGGACCGGTCAGGGAGCGGCGCTCAGACTGAGGGTGCGGTCTGTCTGTGGACGTCGCACGCCAGGACGGCGAAACACGCAGTCTGCCCGCGTGACGCCAGTGGGGCTCCTCCTCAGGCGAAGACGGCGCCGGCCGAGAAGCTGCTGGAGCCTGCGGACGCCGTCATCCGGGTCAGCGGCCGGGTCCACTGCCTGGCGTACCTCCACACCAAGGCGACGGTAGGCTGCGGCCGCCCGCTGCGCGCCAGCCCGCGCACCAGCCCGTGCACCAGCCCGTCCACCAGCCCGTCCACCAGCCGCGTGCCGAGACGCAACGGCCGCGGCGGCGGTGGTGCGGCGTCTCCGGGGCGGAGGCTGTGGGGAGCTGTTGTGGAGCGAAAGCTGAAGGCGCAGCTAGGCTTAGTGTCAGCAGTCCCGGCCGGCTGAAGTACAGCCGCAGTCCGGCCAGCAGGGCCACCCGTCCCTCAGCGTGTAACGAAGACGGCACATTGTCTCACGGAGCGCCTCGGAGGGGATCAAGACCGTGCGCGCGCCGTCCCGTGTAACGGAGACGGCACATTGCCTCACGGAGCGCCTCGGAGGGGATCGAGATCGTGCGCGCGCCGTCCCGTGTAACGGAGACGGCACATTGCCTCACGGAGCGCCTCGGAGGGGATCAAGACCGTGCGCGCGCCGTCCCGTGTAACGGAGACGGCACATTGCCTCACGGAGAGCCCCGGAGGGGATCGAGATCGTGCGCGCGCCGTCCCGTGTAACGGAGACGGCACATTGCCTCACGGAGAGCCCCGGAGGGGATCGAGATCGTGCGCGCGCCGTCCGAAACAACGGCCTTCCAGTCTGGTGACTCCCTGCCCTGTCATTACACGGTGCCAAGCGGAACATCACCGTTGGTTCTGTGAGAGCGCCGCTTAGCAACCTTTCACTCCCATTTCTTCGATCTTTCAGTCTTCCACGCGTTTATATGAGGGAGCATGAAAGAAGCTCTTCACCTTGTCCTTATCTTGCCGTGGTCTCGCGATGGTCACCAGCATATTTCAGTTATAAACGACGACAGGTCATTGACACAATAACTGACAGGCAACACTGTCATTTCATTGACGTGCAACGACAGAAGACGCCTTCAAATTTGGGAAAGTATAATCATTAACGAACTCTCTCTAGCCCTAAACAGGCAAACAAATTATGATACGACCCTTGAACTATTAGGTGGTGGGCGGTAAGCACTGTTGATACGGTTGTGACAATATGTTTCTGTCTTTGTAGTGCTCCCGTTATGGTTACGCTCTATATGTACCAAAGTAAAAATAGGATTCTGTCTTACTTTAATTAATAAGTAATCTATCTTACTTTGATTAGCCATGCTTCATTTGTGTTGTACGTACCAGTGTATAGATATAGATATAGATATATAATATATATATATATATATATATATATATATATATATATATATATATATAGATATCGCCATATAATCTTAATTGCCTTAGCCTGGGTACTGAAGCTGCCTTAACAGGTGGGGCTGCGGCTTCCTAACCCCCCCCCCCCTCCCGCCCCCTCCCAGGTGGCCGAGGCCGTGTCGGCCCTGAGCCGGGACACGCGGCGCTCGCTGCTGGCACGCTGCCAGATGCATTGTGACAGCTTGGTGGAGGAGCAGCCGAGCGACGAGTCGGCGACGGTGCTGCACGAGCCGCCGCGGCGGGTGCTGGCGCCGCTCGCGCCCTCGCAGCTGCACGCGTCCGACTACCTGTTCCCGGGCGACACGGCCGCCGACAGTCTGCAGACGTTCCAGGACCTGTTCGGCCTGGAGCTGCAGCCCGGGGACGTGATGGACACGGTCGAGACGCCCTCCGGTGAGAACGGGAGCGGGCGGGTCCGACGTCAGGGGGCTGGTGAGGGAGATCTGACGCCGGGTGGCTAGTGAGTGGGGGGGGGGGGGGGGGGGAGGGGGGAGCGACGATGTTTTCTGAGAGCGGGCGGGATGAGGTCTCTTATGTATCGTCCACTGGGTCCTGAGAAAGGTGGAGCCTGCTGTGCGCAACAGGTGTGACAAAACTTCGGCCCGCTTTCTCTTTTAGGGCTCGCCTGTGTTCTATATAAATCAGATGCTGAACTGTCCCACGGATACACCCAGGCGGACTTTATGTCCAACGGATTTGCTCCGCTTTATGTATGTAATTACTTTCTGTGCTGCTGTAGCCAAAGTTTGGTCATGATGGTGAAAACTAGTCAAATTGGCAGTTAAGAAGTCCCCACTGGATGGAAATGTTACGCAGAACTACGCGCCACAGAAAACACAACCCTGTTTGTCGGTCGGTGTGTGTCGTGCTCCACCGGCGTCACCCTGTCGTCCCGTGGCCTGGCGGGCACGTCTGACTCGGACCCCTCCGCCGGCAGAGGAGCGGGCCCACTCGGAGTGCTCATCGGCGGCCGGCGCGCTGGATGACCTGCGCGAGCTCCAGTCGGGCGGCGCACGCTGCAGCTGGCTCCACCTGCTGTTGGCCGTCGCTATCGCCGCCGTCGGCATCCTTGTCTCGTCCCTCGCGCTGATTGGTCCGCGCTCGCCCGGACAGCATTGACGTCAGCGAGAGGGGTGGAGTTGATTGGCTCGGCTGTGCGCGGTGGTGTCTGGGACTAGATGATTGGTCCGTGCCCGCTGGGGCGACACCAGTGGTGTGAATCTGATTGGTTCACGTCCGACTGAGCACCAGTGACGTCAGGCGTGCGGTGAATCTGATTGGCCCGCGTCCGTCTGGACACCAGTGACGTGACGCATTTCGAGCTGACTCGTCTATTCAGCCCGGCCACAGTAATGCCCGCCAGTCCTGGACATGTTCGTCTGGTGTCTGACGTGGAGAAGCCGGTCGCCTCGGCTGCCACCTAACACACACTGACGTCACACTGGCATGACATCACACCGTCACACTACCAGACATCGGCGAGAGGCCGTGTGTTGCGCGTTGGGTGAGGAGCGGCTGTGAGCGACACGAACGCATTCGACGCCATTCCTGCGGGAACTTTGGCAGACCGGGCCTCCGAAGGCGCGCCCGCCGAGTGTGACGTCATTTTGACGTCACTGTCGGACGGCTCCCGTGGTGCCGCTCTCGTGTGCTGGTCGGGATGTGCCGGAGCGCGTGCGCCACAGCGGTCGGGGCCGCACTGCACCTGTGACCTTGGAAATGACAACATGGTTGCGATGGGCCTCGATCTGTAGTGACAGTACTTTATTGGGAAGCGGTGTGGGTTTGATGGCCTATTGTTGAGTGGGAATTGGATATTTTCTATACATTTGTTGATTGTGAGGGTTTCAGTGCTCCGTCGTGACAGAGTTTGTGGTATTCAAATGTGAATACAAGGTTTTGGACAATTTTTCTGCATCAGCCCTAATGCATTGTTCCAGTTATGTTTAAACACAGTAGTGCTAAACAGAGTAATGTTTATGATCATGTATATAGATGTATCTTGTATATGTCATAGTCATATATATGTATATGACTTCCAATACATATATATATATATATATATATATATATATATATATATATATCGGAAGTCATAGCCCAGCTAGCCATAACTGATAACTCGGCGTTGTTTCCAATAGCGGTGCTAGCTCTCGCTCTGGCAGAAATGAGAGGGTCGATGCAGAATCCCAAGTCTTTTACGATATTTTTCCAGCATATCGTGTGACTATACCCGAATTTCGGTAGCTCACGGGGCATCACTTCGTGTGTGTTGACACCATAAAGCGCCTCTGACTTCTGGTTTTTCGGAACACCGCGCGGCGATGCGCGGCCGTTGCGGGTGGCGGGCGGCTGTGGTACGAATCCGGCAGTGACCCGCGGGGGCCGGTGTACTCGAAGATACGACAAGGGTCAGATGTGTGTGAGTTGCGCGCTAATTTGCGCTATGGTTTCGCACATTTTAGCATGTGAAGCTGAAATGGTCCGATTTGGAGAACGAATTGGCCTTTAACCTGACATTGCGGCCAGTTATTGATCTAGAAACAAGCTTGCTACCGATCAGCAGATCTCACCACGACAAATCCGCCGTTTTTCTGCGGTGCTCTGCCTTTCTTAGCTAGGAAATGGTAGGGGTCGCATCGAACCCCCTACCAATCCGCGTCTTGAAAAAAAGCGATGAACGGAATCGGTGAGGGTTAACATTTGCGGTTCATTCACGTTTTCAAAGCATGAAATGACCACATAATTTTCTAATTGTGGCGTATAGATACATGGTTAAATTCCGAACATTTGACGACATTCCTCACCTGGCTTTGGGGGTCGAACGTCACTCATCTGGAGTTCGGGGCCGAACGTCACTCATCTGGAGTTCGGGGCCGAACGTCACTCATCTGGAGTTCGGAGCCGAACGTCACTCATCTGGAGTTCTGGGCCGGACGTCACTCATCTGGGGTTCTGGGCCGGACGTCACCCATCTGGAGCCCGGGGCCGAACGTCACTCACCTGGAATAGGGGGCTCAACGCACATGGAGGTGGCCTAAAAACCACAGCCCGAAATGCTGTGTGAGGGCACAGTATCACTGACGAGATGGAAATGGCACCAGTAACTACCTCACTCGCGATACGAACATCTTAAGAATAAGCAAGAAGCTGACTGCAGCAATTTTGTTGACCTCAATTTCATCATTGCGAACAACAACTGCCCTAAACTTATCACCAGTGCGGCAGTCGCTTAGGCCCGAGCTTATTTACAATTTTTTTTCTTCTCTCTAATGCATGTGGCTGTTGCAAGCATGTTGCAAAAGAAGTGCCGTTTCTAGTAGCTCACAACAATTTACGTCGCTCCAATTAAACACTTCTATGCTCGACCCTGGAATTGTCTTGTAAATTGCAGCCATTGCAGATAAATGACATGTTATTTGGTCATATTCCTGGTCTGGGCTGCGCCTAATCTCTTGCTAGCTCCAGCACCAACTCCACCTTCTGACGTTTGCATTGTCGTGCCGCTCTACATTCCGTTCACCTGTGACTGCTTCAGGTCCCCAGTTGGTCTGAGTGCCTTCTCAGCGGCTTGACACGTTCAGGGACAGCCCTTTAGCAGCCGTCGAAAGTTTTGAGCAGGTGAGATTTATGTGATCCTCGGGTTTACCCGATATCGATATCCGATTTATCCGATATCGCCTGTGACCGCTGGACAGCTGGGCCGCGGCAGCACCAGCTTTTCGGGAACCATACCTTGCTGTTCATCTCAGACAGGTACGTCCAACATCTCCAACCGTCTACACGCTGTCATTACATTGCCACCATTCGTGTTTATGAATGGCCGTGGTGTTGCGGTGATGGTGTTGCAACGATGCTCTGATCACCCCAGCTCGGCTCGACCGCGGGTGTGCGCCACATAGTCACGGGCACAAAAGTACATGGAGTCGCCGACGGGAAGACTACAGTATCACACCATTACAGGTACCTATAAATCGCCTTGGGTGTGGGTAGGATGGCTGATGTTCATTTATTTATTAAAAATATTACACAAGAAATACTGACAAAGTTTACACACATTGCAAAGCTTTATGTAGCATTGCTAGCGCACTTATTATTTTTTGACTACTTTTTTATTATTATTTTTAGGTACGTTTAGGAATTTTTAGGTACGTTGTTTATAATGTTTAGTTGGTAGCTCCTCAGCAGGTGTTTCCGTGGTGTAGTGGTTATCACATCCGCCTAACACGCGGAAGGTCCCCGGTTCGATCCCGGGCGGAAACACGCGTTTTCTCGCATTTGGAAAGTGGGCATTGCTCATTGTGGGCAAGTGGACGCGTGTAACTGTTTACACGGGAGCAAAGCTTCATATTTCTTGATGATGAGGCATGGAATATCAGACAAGCACTCGCAAAAGTACCCAATACATCACAAAGGTACTCAATTGTTGATGGCGCGAAATTCTTTTCCTACCGCCATTACCGTACTGAATGGGTCACGATATCGATGCGTCTTGGTCTTTCGCTACCTGCTGTTGCAATGCTCTTCGTGCATTTTCGTTTTTCTGTAGGTCCCTACTACAATATTATCACATCTACTATTTGGCTAGCAAGACTAGCTCGACGTTGTGGAGCTAAATAGCGATTTTATTGGCTAAAATATGTCAAAAATCCCTAGGCTGGACTAGGCTCTACGTACAAACTTTATCACAAGACTGCTTAAAATAACACCTTTAGGCTATGCACGTTCCTGAGGTTTGTAGTGACTGATGATCACTGTTAGTAATGTTCTGATCTAAGACTCTGTGTGGGACTTTGTAAACCTCTGACTGAGCCCGCCTGTTGTTCCTCTTGTAGCCTTAAACGTTAAACCATTAAATTTGACACGTTTACGTTGTTTTGTTTGCGTGTAACTTTACGTTTACGTTTAATGTTTAAATTGTTTGCGGAGGCTGCGAGCCTGGACGACTTTTTGACATATTTTAGGGGCAGTGTCTTTACAGATTGGAACCATTTTCTAGATCCACGTCCTATTTCCAAGAGCAATATTCTGCAGCAGCTGGATGCATTGCCTGGCGCCCCGGCTCCTCAAAGTGCACGGGCGATGGATGTAAGAAGTTCTCTGAAAAAGTGCACGGGCGATGGATGTGAGAAGTTCTCTGAAAAAGTGCACGGGCGATGGATGTGAGAAGTTCTCTGAAAAAGGCAGTGACCGGCCGTAGTCTAGACATGAAATATCGTGTTAGGTGAGCCGCGGGTACCGGACGCCGGCCTCCATGACTCGGCTGCTGTTGGGACCGGCATCAGCTTTCACTGACTCCATAGATCGCGTCCACGCAGTCGAGTCTCCTTACGTCACTCTGCTGAGCAGTGCGCCATGATCGCTGCAGGCTCCCTAAGAGGCCGACCGAGGGCCGACGCGATATGTACCGTAGCACCGCAGAGAGGCCCCCGGGCTCCCCCTCCCCTGCCGACGCCGCCATCTGTCACCCATCGCCGTCCCCTACACCCTGCCCCTCCTCCGACCCTCTTCACACGGCTGGTGAGAACCAAAACAGCCGCCGTCTCGCCGTGCTATCTGAGCCTGGGCCAAGCGGATGCATGTCAGGCGCGGATGCAGGTCGGCAGAGTGGGAGGCGCTTGAGAACTCGTGCACCAACACGCCTGGCGCCAGGCAGCAGCTCACAGATACAAGATAACCAGCGTGACTGCAGGCATCTCGCCTCCACCTGGGGAACCGGGGCGGGGTGGAGGACGGGGACGGGTTCAGCGGTCAGGGGTGTTCACGCTCCATCCAACAAGGTACAGACGACCGGTGCCTGATACGACACCCCGCAGGACTCGCCTCCTGCGTCTACGGAAGCTCCGCTCCCCTCCCAGCCGTCGACACCGTCCAGAGGGTGTCGCGGGACGGGGCCGCTCAGAGCCGCGCATCACGCTCAGAGAACTACAGTCCTCTGAGGACGGCAGTCCGAGGACTGCGTGTGACTGGGGACAGGACGGCGAGCGTGGCACGTGGTCTCAGGGTCAGGGCGTCAGGTGTGTCACGTGACCTGAGGACGGCACGTCGTGCGTGACACGTGACCTGTGGCTGCTGGCGTCACGACCAGGAAGTGAAGATGTGGCTGATGATGCTGGCGATGGCGGTGGTCGTCCTGGGCGCTCCCAGAGAGCAGATCTGCGGATATGACGTGAGTTCCCGTGGCGCTTCGCTCCACGCGCGTGAAGCGGGGCGTGGGAATACTGGTGAACGCCGAAATGCCCCACAGGTCCGGGTTTTACGAAGTTGGTGCAACTACTTTTCGGCTGTGTAACACCGAGAACGGTAGCGCAATTTCCAATGACCTAACAACTCTGTATGGCGGGGTGTAGACTCCGATTCAGTCCGGGCCTCAGCCACGCCCCCGACTTTGTGAAGACAGTGGGCCAAAGCCGGGGAGAAACCCGCTTGTTGGCGGATTTTTTTTTGTAGGTTTCTCCATTTTCACTGCTTAGCTCCTCCAGCTAATTTTGCAAAATTTTGCAACTCCTGTGTGATGATTCTGCGACTGGCTCTAAGACCTAACATCAAAGGGATGTTCCACATTTGAAGATATTAAAGCAAGCATCAGATTTGATGAATCAAGCTCACTTATTACTACTGGTATTCCATTAAGCGAAAAAGACTGCTCTAGCCCACATAATTTCTCTATTTTCTGAGTAGCCTCCTCAATATGTCATCGTACCTTGTACAACATTGACTGAGAGCCTATTGACGGCCGATGCATCTGGAAACTGCGCCCACGAACGTCAGACATGAACGAATGGACAATTATATTTGTCATGGTCCTGATCGCCGCAGGGCTTATGAAATAGCAGGATTTTAATGACGTCATTATGGCGTCATGGATGCCTGGGTAACCTTGAAATTGTCTCCCCGAAACAGTCTATACATCTTCGTGGGCGTGTAGCTCAGAAACTAGAAAAGTTTAGGTCTTAAGAAGGGCAGGGCTGTAAACTGCACTGAATGACCTTTAAGACGACCATTTCAGTTCAAAATCCCATGCAAATGTGTAACGCTTCTTTTAAACGGTTTACAACGAACTATCAGCCTATGTCATTTCTCCAACGCACACCCGCTGGGCCATTTTTTTGCGTGGTTAAGTTCGTGGTTCAGACAGACCTGCCACAAAGAACGTGCCCACGAGCACCGGCTTCTTCGATCCAAGCTCGTATAAATCGCGCAACTTAATGTAAGTCTCATTATGGGTGAGTCGTGCGTACGCACTCTTAAAATTTGTAAGCAAGACGCCATCGCGGAAGCTCCTTCTGTGTCCATTTCGGTCATGCATGCCCATTCTGTCTATATGCGATCGCGGAAGCTGCTTCTGTATCCACCCCGGTCATACACACCCACTCCGTCTGTACACCATCGTTGAAGCTCCTTTTGTGTCCATCCTAGTCATACATACCCACGCGCGTTCCATATCTGCGTACCGTGCGGAAACACGAAGTGGCCTTCGGTTATCGCTCTGTCATTTCTCAGAAATGTCCGACGGGTAAGCCGGACATGTTGAACGTGTACCCTCACTCTGTCATGTTTCAGAAATGTCCGACGGGTAAGCCGGACATGTTGAACGTACACCTGGTGCCACACACTCACGACGACGTGGGCTGGCTGAAGACCGTCGACCAGTACTTCTACGGAGGTGAAGGGCGATGAGGGACTGGGCTGGAGGCATACCGGCCACGGGTGTCTGTCGGCAGAGGTGGTGGGCTCGAAGGCGGTCTCGCAGTGTTTGTCGGCAGAGGTGGCGGGTCTAAGGTAGCGGACTTAGCCTCCCTCTCAAAGCGCGTTTTTCAACGAGTGTAGCACTCTTTATTTCGCAGAACAGCGGTTATAATCTTCATTTTTGCACCATCTATCAAATGGACGTTGTTTGTGTAGAATGCTAGTTATGCAGTTGCGCAGTGTCCCGGCAGCAAAAAAAAATTGGGCCTTTACCAAAATTGCCGCGGGGGGGGGGCAGGATCCTCATGAAAGAATACAAAGCAAAACCCGTTGATGAGACGGTCCTGAGCCAAGAACTCGCTGAGTGTCACAATGATCGGATGTCTCTGATTAGACGGCTCGACGATATGTGCGTCTATATTTCGTGTCCACTGTGCGTGTGTATGTTGCGTCCATTATGTGCCTGTATGCTGCGTCCACTGTGTGCCACTGTCACTTCCACTGTGCCTCTATATTTCGTCTTTTTCTCATCTCCGCATTGAATCAGGTGTTCATCTGTGTCTTGTGTCGTTTTGTGCCTGTAATTCATGAGCATGCTTCTAGATGTGCGTGTGCTCGATAGACCATATGTTATGTTTCACCTTAGTGTTTCGTCCAGCGCAACTTTGTTCTCCTTTTTCAGCCAAGAATGACATACAACGGGCCGGCGTCCAGTACATCTTGGACTCCGTCATTGACGAACTGGTCAAGGATTCTTCAAGACGGTGAGAGCAATCCTCCAAAGCCTCGTTGTGCACAAACATCATGACAATTTGTTCGCCTGATCGGAACAAGACACCTTATCAGTTTATTGGATCCAAAAAACGCCTCTCCGCCAGAAACCCACAAAATGTTAGATGAAGTTTGTATGCTGATGGGCAGCTGTCTAAAGAAAAAAAAACTTTGCTGGAGGCCTCCCCTGACATTCGCATGCTGATTCGCCAACCCAAAAACTTTCTAGGTAATTTTTGGGGCAGCTGTCTAAAAAAAGTTGCTGAAAGCCTCCCCCTGACGTCGTTGGGATGCTGATACGCCAACCCGAAAACTTTCTACGTAATTTTTGAGAGCTGAGTGTGTTTATTGACCCACGTCAATGGTGCTCAGTTTCATATACGTGGAGACGGCGTTCTTCTGGCGCTGGTACCTGCAGCAGGACAAGCAGACGATCGCCACTGTGGAGAACCTCGTCAACGAGGGACGGCTCGAATTTATCGGCGGCGGCTGGAGCATGAACGACGAGGCCTGCGTCCACTACAACGCCGTCATCGACCAAATGTCGCTCGGCATGAGGTGAGAACATTTGTCGCTCGGAGTGACGTGAGAACAGTTGCTGCTCTGGCTGGATTAAGAACGCAGGTCTCCCAATACGAGGTGATAACACATGCCGCTCGGCAGATGAGTTCTGAAGGTCGTGCTGTTCGAGGAGAGGTGATATCAAGGGCCCCTCGGGATTAGACGATGACGCAAGCCGCTCGGAATGAGGAAATATCGCTACCAGGTGGCAGAAAGACAGCCTGGGCGTGCTTCAGAACATGGCATGCCAATCTTGACACGGATTCCATAAGGAACTCCTGCTAGAGAACAACTCCTGGCCTTTCAGGAATCAGTGCAACCACTTCAATGAGTTAAAGCCACTCAAACAGTGTCTAGTCAAACCAGTCACAACCAGTCAGTGTCCCGTTGTGACCTGCGCCTAGTCCTGGACACAACGTGCCATTTCAGTCCTTGTGGTGTCGCTGTGACCTGACCTGGTTCCAGGACATTGTTTGACCATTTCGGTACCTGCGGCATCCCCCGGGTGGCGTGGCAGATCGATCCCTTCGGCCACACCAAGGAGCAGGTCAGTGGAAGCGTGTGGGGGGGCCAAGAACAGAACGAGGCCGGCGCTGCTAACCCTGCACGACCAAATTTTGGCCAACTGCCTAGTCCATCAGAAACTCGTCAACAGAACAAGCAAGTGCCAAAGCTGTTTTCGATGCACTGTGTGGCCAAACACCTTGCTTGATGACACACACTTCATGACATGTGTGCACTCCGCCACAGGCCAACCTGTTCGCCCAGATGGGCTTCGACGGCCTGTTCTTCGCCCGGATTGACTACGACGACCGAAAAAGGCGGATCAACGACACCGACATGGAGATGGTGTGGCAGGCGGACCACAACCAAGGTCAGCTCTCACGGTGCGGACCGTGCCCAAGGTCAGCCGGCCGGGTGTCGGTCGTGACCGAGGTCATCTGGAAGCGAGGTCATCGTCAATGGGGCTTTAAGACACATTCAGCGGCCGACACTGTATGGTGTCGCCGCTTCTGACCCTGGCAGGATTAGTGAGCACCGCGGGGAATCGAACCCCGTACCTCTGGTTTCTCAGACGCACAATGTCATGTGGAATCGTGGTCAGAGCCATCGTGTGTATAGGATATCCCGGTTGTTTCTGAAAACCCCGTACCTCTGGTTTCTCAGACGCACAATGTCATGTGGAATCGTGGTCAGAGCCATCGTGTGGGTAGGATATCCCGGTTGTTTCTGAGAACCCTGTACCTCTGGTTTCTCAGACGCACAATGTCATGTGGAATCGTGGTCAGAGCCATCGTGTGTGTAGGATATCTCGGTTGTGTCTCAGAACCCCGTACCTCTGGTTTCTCAGACGCACAATGTCATGTGGAATCGTGGTCAGAGCCATCGTGTGTATAGGATATCCCGGTTGTTTCTGAGAACCCTGTACCTCTGGTTTCTCAGACGCACAATGTCATGTGGAATCGTGGTCAGAGCCATCGTGTGTGTAGGATATCCCGGTTGTTTCTGAGAACCCTGTACCTCTGGTTTCTCAGACGCACAATGTCATGTGGAGTCGTGGTCAGAGCCATCGTGTGTGTAGCATATATCGGTTGGTTCTTAGGTTAAAGTGCCTTATGCAGTGGCGTCGGACACCTTAATGTACAGTGACATGAAGTCAGTGAAGGATGATAAAAAGTCAGGGATGCCTTGACATGAGTTGCTGTGATACCAAAAATTTTGATGGATGACAATGATTCGGTCATATTTGTAACATTTTCCTCATTTCTAACATGAAAGCCATACATTTTCATTTTGTTCCAATGACGTATGCCAGCAAGTATCGGTTATCCGTAGCGTATGTTCTATTTATTTTGTTCCGTGTCAGCTCATTGCTTGTTCGAGACACGTATTGGCTATCTGCTTAAAATATGTCTTTTCCGATTCAGCTTTGGTATCAGTGACCAACTGACATTACAAGACTAGGCGTGTTAGTTCCACCGCAAAATTAAATCAATTGGTCATCAAAACCTATGAAATGCATTTAAGGTGGAAAATTGCACAATATTGTAAAAGTAAATCAAAAGCCTTTAGAACAAAATATCATACCCAAACCGATGGGGCAAAATTTGACCAACCAAAGCGCCCGTGTCTGGTTTAAAAGCACGGATAAGCTCATTAAGCAAGACCAGTGGTGAATGACTCATGCATGAGTCGCGGCTGTGGCGCCATGCGCTTAACAGGTTAGCATGACTGTAAATGCGATTGTCACGCCTCTTTATGGGTATGTGTCTGTCCATTCACATATGTCTGTCGCTTCTCTCCTGCACCTGTCTTTCTCTTTCCTCCCTTGACACTCCGTCTTCATTTTTGTCATTTCTTGCATTGCCCACGTTATCGCAGCGTTGCAGCAGGGGTTGACCAGTGATGGTATTACCACAGTGTTTTGGCGCGAACAGGGCCAGTTGTCAGCCAAACAACCACCGATCCGCCCGAAGCAAACAGGACCAGCGGTCAGCCTAACAACCGCCGATCCGCCCGAAGCGAACAGGGCTAGCGGTCAGCCAAACAACCACCGATCCGCCCGAAGCGAACAGGACCAGCGGTCAGCCTAACAACCGCCGATCCGCCCGAAGCGAACAGGGCTAGCAGTCAGCCAAACAACCAACGATCCGCCCGAAGCGAACAGGACCAGCGGTCAGCCTAACAACCGCCGATCCGCCCGAAGCGAACAGGGCCAGCGGTCAGCTGTACAGCCACCGATCCGCCCGAAGCGAACAAAGCCAGCGGTCAGCTTAACAACCACCGATCCGCTCGAAGCGAACAGAGCCAACGGTCAGCTTAACAACCACCGATCCGCCCGAAGCGAACAGGGGCAGCGGCCATGCGCATTACTGGATCACGTTCCACGCCAGTCACGCGCTTACCGCGTTTCCATGGAAACGGAGTGACACCGGTGGCGGAACAGAACGAAGCATTGGTAACAAATGCTGACCCAGGCATGCATCTCAACGCAAGACGAGACATCTCAAGGAACACAGTCTATCAGCATGCGGCTGGTGTGCGGACCCCTTGACCGAGCAGGACGTGAGCTGGCTGGACCCTTTCCCTGCCAGGACCTGACGCCACCGGCCTGTACCCCTCTCCGTGTGCCCAGTTCTTTGGTCTCCTTCAAGGGCGTCGCCTGGCGTCGCTGGGCGTCGCCCCGAGCCTGATTGGAGCTGTCTCTTCCAACCCGAAGGTGCCGAGGGAGACCTCTTCACTGGCGTCCTGTACCGCCACTATTCTCCGCCCCCTGGACACTGCTACGACGTGAACTGCAACGATCCGCCCATCATGGACGACTCGCGGCTCCGGGATTACAATGTCGAGGACAAGGTATTTCGTGCAGGCTGAAGCGCATTCCCCGACGTTGGGTAGCAGCGACGTGGTCATCAGCGTGGGGTTCTCCGGGAAGGCTTCGGTTGCGTTTGCTTGGCTGAGACGATAGGATCATTTGCCTAAGGCAGCTTTAAAAGATGTTTTAAAGCAGGTTCGGCAGCGCAAATGTCTCGCCGAAAATTGACCATGATTTAAGGAAATGTTCCGCATTTGAAATTATGAATATGTTCATTTATAGCCATTGGTATGCTTGAAATGGAAAAGACTGCTGCAGACAACGCAATTATATATTTAGTACATATGCTGCTCATTACGTCACTGCTTGATTGGATCGTGGAACGTGTGCATGACATCGAAGCGTTTCCAAACCAGTCGTGCGAAATTACCACCCTAGCACTCACAGGTAATACTTCAATCTCCTGAGGGTTGGCCGTGGCGTTAACGGAGGTATTTGCTGAACCAAGTATGGTTATGTGGTCTTGTTTTGGCCATTTTTCGTGTTGGCCTGGCATATTTATCAGTGAATTTAAGATGAGCGTTGTGTTCATATGCTCAGTTATGGCACGCTATTTAAGTCATTCCATCACAAGTCTTATTTCCGTAATGACTAGCAATCATATCCGACTTTTTATAGAACGTACCACAAAGCATGATTCGTGATGGAAACTTGCGCAGTTTGCTCAACATTGATTTGAAGCCAATGAACGACCACCACCAAAATGGGTCTGCCCATCTTCACTCATTCTTCATTCCTTTTAAGTGAGTGCTCCACGTTTGTGTGGGGGTTGGATGCTTGACCCGCGAGTTTTAGAGTTGCGTGGCGTATCGCTAAGGAACTAGTAGCAGATAGAAATATGCGATGACGTTACGAACCCTATTTTCAACTTGTTCTAGCGAAAATAGGGTGCAGACAATAATCTTTAGGAAAAGTGCATCAAAAATATATATGCCCATATTTTTCTAAAATATTGATCAATATAACATTTGAAGTCCACTAGGTACATATGGTGGCTTAATTTGACCTTTGACCTCATTTTCTGAAGAAAAACATAGTCCTTTTGAGTTTCTTTAAACCGATATGCAATTGAAAGTCATTGAATTGTATGAACTAACGAAACATATCGATTGCATCTCATCTAGTTCGGTTGTGAATTTAATATAAACATTGACGGATCGCACACAGCGGCACAGCATGGGTCGACCGGCCGGCACTGCGTGACCGATCACGATCGGCTCACTCTGCTGAGAACTGTGACCTTGACCTTGAGACCATTCATTTAAATACCAACACCAGTCATCAAAGTCTCAAAACTTCGACATCCTTCCGGAACTGTAGGACAGTGTCTGACAAGTGCGTATTAATCGACCTTACGTACCTGTCGTCCCTCAAGAGTCGTGTAGATGATAAAGTGTTGCGCTCAGAGTGCTCACAGCGCATCGATAACCATGGTATGAAGTTAAGCTGGAGCTTAACGTGAGAAGAAACGAACAAATGGTCTGAAGCTGCGTTATTTCTTTTTTCGAATCTGGCCTGGAGCCGGAGCAAGGTCGCCTTTTGTGCCGGCCCAGCACGCCTGGAATCGGACACATGAAATTCAATCCAGCACGCATCTAATTCGACGCCGGCTCCGAATAAACGAGGCCGAGCCCAGGAGAGGGTCAGTGAGTGAAGAGTCTCATTGTCGCTGGATCGCAGAAATGAAGACCTGCAGTTTTGCTGCCTTCAGCAAGTGCTTCCAGGGAATGCTGAATGAAAAAATCGATTGAAATTGTGAAAGAAAAACTGAAAAAGACGTTTGCGCGTGTGATGATATTACGGTTAGTGCGGTGCCAGCCATTCGTCATCATCACTAGAAAAATTTGTTAACTTCCTAAGTCTTTAAAGCTATGCCATTGTTGTGTCAAAATGGGGACATCTGTAGAGCCGCTGGACTTCAAGCACAAAACAACGAGCACTAGCTCGCGCAAAATCACCGACAGTTTTCAAGACTACTCGTCTCTAAAGGCTCTGGTAGAAATTGGGGATAGATCGCCCGCGGCTTACTGGAAAAACGCAATCATCCGTGTCTATGCAAGCATGTGGACACATCTCACCGCGAATAAAAATGCATTTTGTTGTGTAACCCATGTAGCTTAACCTTACCGTTCCATTTTCATCCGTGAGCGTACGTCGTAGGTATGTGACAGAGGATCAAATCCGCGGAACGTAGCAACGCTTGGCACGTTGCGTCAAAAACGTCCGAACGCTGAAAGAAACGCACAGCTCCTGTCGTATTAACAACCATGGGTGACACGTATTGGTTGCAGTTACATCAATGATCATAGCTGCTCTGATCATATCTGATCACATCCGAAAGAAGACCCGTGACAGGTGAATGCAGCGCCAAACATTCATTTAAGGAATTAGTGATCTAAGCCTACGGTGCGGTACAAACAACGAAAGGCGTTTATCTGCTGGTTTTGTGTTTTTCGCATAACTTGGCGTGAATAGATGATCAGTGACAGAACCTGCTAAAAACGATGACTTTGGATTTGATGATACCTGGCTGCATACTGGCCGCTGTCATAAGGTGTTAGTTTTAATCTCCGTGCGCGTCACCCGGGATGGATGACAGCTACTCGAGGTCGACAAAATGCATTTTTCATTTGCCGATTTTCTTGAGTTCCGGTTGGTTTAAAGGTCGCGGTCGCAGTGAACCGATCGCGCCCGGTCACCCGATATACCAGCCGGTACCGGTCACTGATACACCGGCCGGTACTGGTCACCGATATACCGGCCGGTACTGGTCACCGATATACCGGCCGGAACCGGTCGCCAATATACCGGCCGGTACTGGTCACCGATATTCCGGCCGGTACCGGTCACCGATATACCGGCCGGTACTGGTCACCGATATACCGGCCGGTACTGGTCACCGATATACCGGCCGGTCGGCTCATGACGAGCCACCGTGCGTGATTGGCCCATGGTCAACTTCGATTTGACACCAGAGGTTCAGGAAAACATTCCGTGACATCTTCAGGAGTGTTGTGGGTGACGCAATACCCAGCCCCACTCGGACAGACCGTGGCGCCGAAAGCTAGACCGTGGCGCCGAAGGCCCCGCTCGGACAGACAGATGTGCCGACGGTCCCGCTCGGACACGCAGAGGTGCCGACGGCACCGCTCGGACAGACCGAGGTGCCGACGGTCCCGCTCGGACAGACAGAGGTGCCGACGGCCCCGCTCGGACAGACAGAGGTGCCAACGGCCCCGCTCGGGCGGACAGAGGTGCCGACGGCCCCGCTCGGACAGACAGAGGTGCCAACGGGTCCGCTCGGACAGACTGAGGTGCCGACGGCCCCGCTCGGACGGACAGAGGTGTCGACGGCCCCGCTCGGACACGCAGAGGTGCCGACGGCACCGCTCGGACAGACCGAGGTGCCGACGGTCCCGCTCGGACAGACAGAGGTGCCGACGGCCCCGCTCGGACAGACAGAGGTGCCGACGGCCCCGCTCGGACAGACAGAGGTGCCAACGGGTCCGCTTGGACAGAGAGAGGTGCCGACGGCCCCGCTCGGACAGACAGAGGTGCCGACGGCCCCGCTCGGACAGAGAGAGGTGCCGACGGCCCCGCTTGGACAGACAGAGGTGCCGACGGTCCCGCTCGGACAGAGAGAGGTGCCGACGGCCCCGCTCGGACAGACAGAGGTGCCGACGGCCCCGCTCGGACAGACAGAAGTGCCGACGGCCCCGCTCGGACAGACAGAGGTGCCGACGGCCCCGCTCGGACAGAGAGAGGCGCCGACGCGCACCCAGAGACAAGCCAGACCTGCCAACCCTGGCGTGATGCAGTGCAAGACGAGCAATGACCAGCGAAGTTTTTTCCTGTCCTGCCGCCGGACAATTTTCCTCAGAAAACGGCCATTCAAGTCTTTCTTGTAAGGTACAAGGTTGGAGCAAATGTTGGCACATTCGCTGCAGCACAGCCGAGTGCAACGATGGCCGCAGCAGCCACTTTGTCTCAATCAAATTTCGAGCTACGACCAAGTTTGGCTTGAAAGTCTGTAAATGACGTATGAATGCGACGTATGCAGGAGATATTTACTAAACAGAGAAATTGCGTTGTCTAGAGCAGCTTTTCATCTAAAATGCTACCAATAGTTATAAGGACCCTATTTCATGATATTGGATGCTTGCTTCATTACCTCCAAATGTGGAAAACTCCATTTAAACAGCGTTTTCGGTAAGCAAGGATCCCGCAGCGAACCATTGCGATATTGATTTTCTCGTTGCTGTATGCATTTTCCGAAAATAGTGCTTTAATCTCTACAGTACGTGTTACGGTGCGGATGTGAGGCAAGTGCTTGCAACTCTTTTTGCTTGAAATGGCTTAGGATATCGATACTATGCATCTGCAGGTGAACAACTTCATCGACTTCGCGAAGAACAAATCGAAGGCCTACCGAAGTGGTCATATCATGATGACCATGGGCGACGATTTCAACTACCAAGACGCCAATATGTGGTTCAAAAATATGGACAAGCTCATCAAGTAAGTAGGCTTGTGCATGCCTACCTGCAAAGGAATCATTCCGCCTTTAAACCAAAGCGTTTGACCAGAGCATTTCAGCACAGAAACAACAGCAAAGTAGTTTGTGAGGCATGCGGGAGCAAACTACATCTATGGATGATAAACGGTAATTCCGTGCATAATTTGCAACCGCCTCTTGTTATGTTCAGCCTGTGTCCGTAACATTCAAGGCTTATAGCGTATGAAGGAAGATGGCGATAAAACATATCGCAGATACTGAACTCTCAGAAGCAGTATTGGGAGGCAGGCCATGAAACCTCACCAGTGGGCTCCGTGTCTCCATTCAGCTCTGTCTGCCATTTTCTGTGCAGTTGTTTGTGCAGTTGTTTGACAAAGGCCAACTGTTCCTTGGTGTCGTTTGCGCTTTGGTGGACCCAAACCCCGAAAGCATTGTTTTGTGACGTGGTCCCTCCTACACATGTGAGTTGACTAATTGTCCTCCCCATCTCTCCGTTGCTTATCTGTTTCTACGCATTTTTTATTCTTTCTCATAACATGGGAGTAATACGATTCCAGTCAAATCTATATATTCATATAGGAGGCAATTACAAAAAGAGAAGACAAATAACACATTGTGCAGCATTTCACGAGGTCATATAATAGATGCCCGTGTACTGACCACAAATGGGGATTTCGTCGCCTTTTTGCAAAAGCAAACGCGTACCTTCCTTTCGTGGGTACAAGGTGGCTGTTAAGTGGCGTTTACCAGTGTACAAATCCATCTTACCTCCAAGTTTACTAAACCATTTTGACCAGGACTTCCTCTTACCCTCGCCCTCGTTACGCCATGTCTTCTGCCCGTGTTGTGCTGTTCAGCGTCCCCTTCAGTCGTGTTTGTTTTATATCGATGTCCCCTCAAGTGAATTGGCTCGTCATGCAGGCTGCAGGTACAAAATAAAACATCTTTTCAGATGTACAGTTCTTATTTTTCACTTGCTGATGGCCGAAACTCTGACTAAAACTAAGCAGCCTCCTTGCGAATGTGTAGCGAATTAATGTCAGCACTCAACCCTAACTCTAATAACGGCATGATCATTTTCCTCTTCTGCGTCCTACAGTCGTCTCCGTTTATGATAATTGGCGAAGTTAACACCACATTGATTCATTAGCGTAAGGCCCTGCCCCGGTTTGTCCTGTCCGCGGCCTGGGCATTTCAACATGCCGTAAACGTTCATATATCGTTGGCATAGCTGCACATAAATCTTAACGACTAGTTCTGACACCCATCCTTTTGTAAGCAACGCCCTGGGATTATTCAGGTACGTCAACGCGCGTCAAAGCGACGGTGAGACAGTGAACCTGATGTACTCCACGCCCTCCTGCTACCTGAAGGCTCTGCACGACAGTGGACTCGTCTGGCCCACCTTTCAGGTCAGATTACTGTCGTCCAATTCAAGTCGATCATCTCTGGCACGAGGTCAGGTCGGGTTTTTGACCCGGAGCCAGTCCAGTAAGCCCGTTGTCGTAGTAGGCATGACACTTAAACTTCAACTCTGCTGTCCGAAAGCCTTTCTTAAAGTATCGTAGACCGAAAAGCGAATACAAGAGGACAATGCATGCAACGTTGATTGATACATTGAACCATAAGTCGAGATAGTTTTATCGCGCGCTTCGATTTCTTCATGCCAGGACGACTTCATGCCGTATGCCAGTGATCCGTGGGCTTACTGGAGTGGCTACTTCACCTCACGGCCCGCGCAGAAGGGCTACATCCGCAAGTCCAACAACTTCCTCCAGGTACAGTGGTGGTAAAGTGTATGGATTCTCGAATAAATTAAGCATTTTCAGGCTTTTGACAATATACGAACAGAAACCAAAATCAGTTTTCAATGGAAGCATTTAGTTGAAAATGGTGTAGACGCGTTTGTACGCTCGTGCTCAAGATTGGCCGGCCCATCATCCTATAGCTGGCCTGAAGACAATCACACGGTTTTTGTGTGGTCCAGGATATGTCCACTGCCGTATCGCCCATGATAACGCCCATCAGCGCACCTTACCAAAAGGCATGTCAACTTGTACATGATTCGTGTACACGTGATGGTCGCCGTTCAAATGGCACATCGGGGCAAGCATGACTTGTGGCTGTGATCCTTTGAGCCGACAGCCCATATCGCGTGGATTTCGATCCAAAGCAAGCCATCCTTTCCAGATAAGACTTCGCGGGAAAAGGGGCGCAGTCAGAGCCTTGGCAAAGGGGGAGCAGAGGGTTGGCAAGAGGCTCCCTGATAGTGAAAGGATGAACGCGGAGGGAATCGAACTCCGTACCTGTGGTTTCACGGACGCGCAGTGGTTAACGCTGGGGCGTACACCACCACGCTATCGGCGCCCGGCGTGCAGGCTCAAACCTTTTGATGATATTTGTTTCACTAGTCGATTCTGCAGAATAATGAACGGTACCAGGGAAGCATGGGATGGCCCTGTGCGCTTTAAGTTCATCTCGACACGCTGTTCTCAACACTAGTGGTAATTCTTTTCTTTCAGGTAAAGGCTCGGCGCTGAAGGGCCATCCTGCTCATCCACAGTGCATTTTCTTGCCGTCATTCTGATGACACGGGGAGGCATCCCCTGGCCGATCCGGAGGCCCTTAGAGGGATACGTCATATCACATTGGTCCGCTCCCTGACGCGGAGGACCTTCTGACCCGCGCAGTTGGCCCCATATCGACGCAGGAACCCTCACTGACGCAACAACATCCTTGCTCTCCGCATGTGGTTAAATAATTGGTGCATAGACACCAGTTACCAGATTAACGTGCCCATGCTGGATTAGGGCTGGAGAGCCCACCGTTGGATACTGGGGCCCTGACTGGCACAGGACTCTTCTATTACCTCAACGTGAACACTCGTCATAAGTCCTTATATTTCCTTCAACTGTCAGAGCGTCCCCACCAACGCAAGAGAACCCCTGGCATTTGGGCTCACGTCCCGTCCCCGCTGAGCAAATCTTCCCTTGACGGATTCGAGGCTCCTTGCCGATACAGAGTGCCCTGTTAGGCACTGCGGACCACTGAACGATAACGAGCCCGAACAATATCAATCACGGACGCGGCCTTTTTCCTGCTTGGGAAATGGACACCCAGACACAAGTTCCCGACCAGTGTAAATCCCTGACCCCGGCTTCATAGCTGGTCGGGAAGCAGGTCCTCAGGCCCATACCGACGGCGCGCCGCCGGTGTGGTACCCCGGTACCTGACCGATGCGTGGGCTGGTATCAACTTACGGGCTCCCCGATCGGTGCAGAATGCCCTCTGACCGTTATTTGAGGGTCTGTCTTCGCAGGTACGGGGCCCCTGAATAAGACTCAGACCGCCCGTTTATGCCCTTAGGCCCTCCAATCATGTCCTTGATCGTCGGACCCAGTGGGCCCTCTAGGTTCTTCAGGCCTCCTCGAACACTGGCTCTGGCCAACTTGGGGCACCTTGACAGCACAGGGTCCCTGTGGGTCCCAGCACAGGGCCGCCAACCGTGGGCCCCGAGCAATGCAAATCACTAACTCCGTATTTGTCCTGCTTGGGAAATGGGCCTTTACGACCGTGCCGCCACGGAACCGACTGTGCGCTACTGGTGGTGTCTGACCGAAATATAGGCCCTCATGGACTCAGTGGACCTCTAATCAGCGCACAGGACCTTCTGGCTGGCATTGGAGTGCCGGGCCCTGCAAGCTGGGGGCCATGAGTGGGACCTCCAGCTGGCCTTTTGGGCCCTTTGGGCCGTCTAATCGGGCCGTTAATTGAAAGGTTGCGAGGGGCCCTTCGGGCTCCCCGGAACCTGGGAGAGGGGGACACGTACCCCCCCCCCCCCCCTGTGCCCCCCTCCCTGCACAACTGCGCAGTAATGACGTCACACGGCCCCACAAAGCCCGCCCACTGGCGCCTCTGCCAGCCGGCCGCGCGCCACACCCACCACGAAGTTTTTGATGTCCATGTCGTAGAGACTCCTGGCGAGCAGTTCGCACGCCTCGCGCTGCGTCCAGCGGCCGGCCGACTGGACCAAGACCCAGCGCGCGTGGCGTCAACCGATCGTGCACCAGTGCGGTATCGTTCGGAGCTGGACTCGGACGGTTGGACGGAGTCTGTCTAATCGATGCGTCTGTGTCATCCGTGTGTGATCGTGCTCTAGATCGTGCTCCAGTTCGGAGCTGGACTCGGACGGTCGGACAGAGTCTATCTAATCAATACCACTGTGTCATCCGTGTGTGTTCGTGCTCCAGATCGTGCTCCAGTTCGGAGCTGGACTCGGACGGTCGGACGGAGTCTATCTAATCAATTCCACTGTGTCATCCGTGTCTGTTGACTCAGGTCTGCAAGCAGCTTTCGGCGATGTTCCAAACGGAGGACACCACGGCGAAACCCAGCCGCGTAGACCTGCTGCGGAACGCCATGGGAATCAACCAGCACCACGACGCCGTTACAGGTGACGCTGCTGTTACCGATCCGGACAGGCTATCCTATACATGGCCGATGCCGGTGGCTATGCAAGCGTACGTTATTTGGTTGATTATATATATATATATATATATATATGTATATATATATATATATATATATGCATATATATATATATGTATATGTATATATGCAAAATACCTGTTAAATATATGAACATGGCCGTACGGAATAACTGTCATTATCCTGCATTGGGCTGCTGCAAACCTGAGTTTTCGGTTGGAGTTGATTTCACTCTCAATGAAGACGTTTACCGAGCACAAGATGCGCTAAGTCGGTACCGGAACGAATCTGGACACGATTGTAGCCCTTGTTGTCGCCCTTCCATCACAAGATACGCCATGCGTGAACCGCCCCTCGTGGAGCGTCAATCGAACGCACAGACATCCGGTCACTGTTCTCACGGACAGCTCACTCTCCTCCCGCGGTACATACCATCACCTCCTTGCGGGATGGCTTCACACGGACTTCCGCGCGTTCCGTCCATTTACCAGGCGCCCGGTCCCCCCGCCCCGGCAGAGTTCCAAGAGGAGCGGAAGGTCTGTCGAACCGCTACCGGAGCGTGCTCGAGAGGCGGCCATCGCTTGATTACACTGGTAATTTTTGACGGCAATCAGCAGATCGCTGCGGCACAGCTTTAGCAGTCCCCCTGAACGCTCGAAAGGATCACTCAGTGACAAAGAAGAACAACTTGTTGTGGCGCATTTCTCCATCACAAGTCAAGGTGTGTTAATGTCCGTCCTGAGACCAAAGCTCGTGGAAGTGGTGACAGCGAAAATGCGGATCCATTCAGACTGACCACTGCTGGATTCAGCTGGGTCACGCTCTCTTGACATGTCACCATTGCGTGGTGGGGGTGGTGGCGGTCTCTGCCTATCATACTCAACCTCGTAATAATTATCGACATCATCACCACCATTCCTTCATCATTCCTTCACCATCGCTTCTTCCCGAGGAAACTGGGTTTGAACTTCGCTGCATGACGGGGTAGAGGAGGGCTTAACTTTTTCATGGTCATAATGTTGATGAAGGCGGTCGTGATGATGTTGCAGGCACTGAGAAGCAACACGTCGCAGATGACTATGTCCAGCGATTGAGCGAGGCCACGGAGTCCTGCCAGGGGGTCGTCAACGACGCTCTGGTGTGAGTTACGCCATTGCAATCGGACTCAGGAGAGTGCAGTTCTCAAGCATTCACACCATAGGTCATATCTATACACTTGGAAGGCAAAAACACCAGCGCCCATGCTTTGTATTAGGAACTCTATTATGTCTTGCCCACTTCATGCTATACGCTGCTGACAGGAACTATGAAAGTATCATCTTGCAAATGACGTGCAGTTAACGTTTCCAATGAATAACCCACGCAATATATTTTGGATGGCGAGCGAAAACCCCACTGTGCCATTACATACCAGTTTTCAGACGTGTTTTTGTTTCTATTTACAGCCGCGCGGTGCTGCCTGTTTGTTTTATTTACAGTCACGCGGAGCTGCCTGTTTACTCCAGTTACAGCCGCGCGGGGCTGCCTGTTTGTTTTATTTACAGCCGCGCGGGGCTGCCTGTTTACTCCAGTTACAGCCGCGCGGTGCTGCCTGTTTGTTTTATTCACATCCGCGCGGGGCTGCCTGTTTACTCCAGTTACAGCCGCGCGGGGCTGACTGTTTTATTTACATCCGCGCGGGGCTGCCTGTTTACTCCAGTTATAGCCGCGCGGGGCTGCCTGTTTCTTTTATTTACAGCCGCGCGGTGCTGCCTGTTCGTTTTATTTACAGCCGGGTGGTGCTGCCTGCTTGTTTTATTTACAGCCGCGCGGGGCTGCCTGTTTGTTTTATTTACAGCCGGGCGGGCCTGCCCCCGCAGACGTTCTGCAATCAGCTGAACACGTCCACGTGTCACGTAACCGAGCGGAGCAGCAAGTTCGTGGCGTACGTGTACAACCCGCTGTCACGGAGCGTCAGCCCCTGGGTTCGAATCCCGGTGGCCGGACAGTCTGCCATCGTGGTGAACGAGCAAGGTCCGTGAGTCTGAGGCCGACAGGTGTAAACCATTTGGCACCAATGGCGGGGTGTTTCTCACTCGAAGGTGATGTAATACTTTCATGGGTTGAATGCCATGTTTATACTTTCTCAGCTTGTGAATGCAAAATTTTCTATCAGCTTGTCACGTAGCATAAATTATTGCGCCACTTTATCTGGTTCACCGCTACATGTACTTAAGACAAATTTACTTTTGGAACCATAGCTGACTGCACATGCCTGCCCTTGTCACATATACAATGAAAAATGGGTACATGTCATCACACAGATACCATATGAGCATCAGCTGCTACCAATGCGACCTCCCCGCATGCGGACATCTAGAGAATGGAGCTCAGGGCCTGACCCCGAGTCGCGTGTTTTGGCAGGCGCGACCATTGACAGCGAGCTCATCCCCATTCCGGCCGGGGTCCAGGACCTCCCTGGCCGGGATTCGACAGCCAACGTTGAACTTGTGTTCCAGGCCTCTACGCTACCGCCTCTCGGCTTCAAGTGAGTGTTGCGCGATCGGTTAGCTGTCCCCAGGCGTTTGTTCGAAATGCTGCAGATGACACGGGGTTGCTGATATTTACGTGCCGTTACCGGTCCATGGAAGACTTTTGGATGCATCAGATTACGAATGATATGGCTCATTTGTTGACGAGGGCTTGACGATACGCGGTTAATCCTGATAAGTGTGTTATTTTGGTGCTGTCACATCTGGGTCATCTCGATAACAAAACATGAACTGCTGAACAATTAAAACCAACACTAGCCGTCCTTCCTTAGGGCTTACTACGTTCGGGTGTTTTCGTATGGGACCGCCTCGCAGCACGCCTCAGAGCGTCCCGGTCTGCAAACGCTCTCAAATGGTCACGTGACACTCGACCTTGACCCCAAGACCCTCCGGCTCGGCAGAATGCGCGCTGGAAATGCTGATGTCAAGGTATGCTGGCTTTTAGAGGGAATATTCCACATTTGAAGATGCTGAAACAAGCATCAGATATCATAAAATAAGGTCACTCACAGCTACTGATGTACCTTTAAGTAGAAAAGAATGGTCTAGACCACACAATTTCTCTGTTTAGTTAATATGCTTCTCCTTACGTCATTGTTTGGTTACGTCACTGTACCTTGCATGACATTGCTTGACAGCCAATTAACGGCTGTTATATCTGGAAATCGTGCTCACGAACGCCAGATGTGAACGAGGAGACAATGATATTTTCTTGGCCTTGATCACCTCATAGATAATTGAGTGACAGGATTTCAATGTCATGATGACATAGACACCTGGGCGACCTTGAAATAATCTCACTGAAATCGTCTGCACATCTTCGGTGGCGTGTAGCCCAGAAACTAGAGGGGTTTAGGTCTTAAGAAGGGCAAGGCTGCGAACTGCACCGAATGAACCTGAAGATGGCTATTTCAGTTCTACAAACGTAGAACACTCCCTTTAAGAGAAAGCAGGTGCATGCATGCGTTTAGTGATAACACCTGCATTTATGAAATGTGGTTTAGGATATATCGCGGACTTGATATCATGCCAATTACGGATGCTTGACGTCTTTTATCGGCACGACATTTTTCAACTTGATTTTAGGTCGAACATTGTCATGCCGACAAAATTTAAACGAATGCTAATTCCTTTGGAGAAAATGCATGACGTTATGTCTTCTTTGTCCACAGTTTGATCAGCCAGCTCGAAGTATGTCCCAATAATTTGAGATGGTGGTTGTCAGTCGCATTTACTTAGCGAGGCATTGATTTCATTGCTATCCATGCCAAGACGTTCTTTTTAAATCTTAGTTAAAATGACAGATTTTGTTTGATGTTATCCGCGTATACACACTTACGGTGGAGCGCTTTCAGTTTGTTCACTCAAGACAAAGCATTTCTTTGACGACAGGTGGATCAGAACTTCATGTGGTACGAGGGGTATGGCAGCCCCAACAACACACCGTGGCAGCCGAAGCACAGACCCAGTGGGGCCTACGTCTTCCACCCGAAAGGAAGGGCTAAGCCAATGAAGGCAACGGTAAGCGAAGAGCTAAACGGGAATAACGAGCGAAATAAGCAACGTTGATTGGCAGTATGTAAAGCAGGCTACTCAGTTAGAAGCGAGGAAGCATGCCGGGAAATCGGGACTCGTTCGGGCGATCTCAGCCGCGTCGTTGTTATATTGCGTGTCGTACGTTTATCAACTGCATTAGCTGAGACACATCGAAGTAATTATCAGCAACCTTGGTGTGAACGAAGTCGCTTTCAAGTCCATGGCAACGCCAAAGCGCGTATTACAACACTTGGCCGCCCCATCGAAGTTTGTAGTTGTCATTCCCGATTTTGAAATAAAGGGAACCAAATACGCAGTGCCCTCACCTCTAAAGTTAGCGTTGAACAGCTAACGCATCATCCGTTTGTTTTCAGTCAGTGGTGACGCTGGACGGAGCTCTGGTGAAGGAGTACCGACACACGTTCGACATGGACTGGGTCTCCCAGGTGACCCGGCTCTACAAGGACGAGCCCTTCGCTGAGGTCGAGTGGATGGTCGGGCCCATTCCCATCGAGTGAGTCGGCCGTGGGTGGCCAGCGGAGTGCCGTGCCGCGTGGGTGTCGTACTGGCGTGCTGATGTTATCGTGCCTTTGTGCGTGCATTTACGTGCATTGCATATGCATCTACGTATTTTACGTGTACGTTCAAACGGCATGTGGAAAGCTTCCCAGATTGAATTAGATTGCCCGTGAGCTGCACGTCCCATCCATGAATAAGCCGTAGGTAATCAAACGTACAGCAGAGCGTAAAATATCACCTCGGCTTTTAGCAACGTCCACCACACATAGCACAGTGTTGTCCCCGTTTGTCATGACATTCTCGTCGCGCAGTGTCGTCCCCGTTTGTCATGACATTCTCGTCGAGCAGCTTCCACTCAGGAGCATGTTGAAGCGCACAGCCACTAGATTTTCTTCTCAAAACGTGTTGCTATTTGCTGATATTTCTATTCCTTTGTCAGGGACGGCGTCGCCAAGGAGGTGATCAGCCGCTTCAGCAGCGCCATCAACTCTACCGACACCTTCTACACAGACTCCAACGGACGCCAGATGATGAAGCGTAAGAGAAACCGGTGCTGTAGGCTGGTTACTAACAGTTATAACGCAATTTTAAGCATAGATCTCCAGTCTTGCCGGGGGCTCTGGGGCGATGTGGTACAGCATGACAGACTTATTATTGGTTTGGTCCCACACGTGTCTCCCGGTTAAGGCTGTTAAGCTGGTTTTTACTTCTTAATGATTGAGTGAAACAGCTATAACATAATTATAGGTTATGGACAAACATGGGTTGGAAAGATTGACTGCATGTTGAGTCAGTTCTCGTCGTTACCCACTCCGTCTCCCCTAGTGGGGCCCGTACAGCATCGTTTGTTTTTCATTGACCCAGGTCGTCGTGACCACCGTGATGCGTGGACCCTGAACGTCACGGAGCCGGTGGCCGGAAACTACTTCCCGGTTAACTCACGGATCTTCATCAAAGACGCCGACAGCCAGCTGACCGTACTTACCGATCGGTCGCAAGGTGGCAGCAGTCTCGCCAGTGGCCAGCTGGAACTGATGGTATGTGTCGGAATCTCGACGATCCTTGGACTTGTAGTGCACACTGTATGGTGCGATGCATGGTTTGTTTCGACTAGCGATATGTGAGCCGAGCGCCGGGCTCCTGGTATTGGAGTGAGATGATAGACGTCGGTCGGACCGATGTTGACGTTGTGATATTTCACTCTAACGTCCGTGGAACGAATACAATTTTATGATATTTCACTATACCCACAGGTCCTGACGGGGTATTTTGTAAAATAATTGATGAAATGTCTTCACTTTGCATGGGCTTTGAAACCAACTCTATTGGATTCCAATTGTATGTGCTATAGACGCTGATGGCGTTATCAACGTGGTGTGCAATAAAGATGGTGAACAATATAAGTGGTATTACTCTCATCTCTACCGCGAGTGGGAATGTACCGACCCTCGTCCATCTCCACATGTCATTCGGCATCGACCTTCCCCATCTTCACCACCATCGCCTGTTGCCTCAGCTGCACCGCCGCACGGTGCAGGACGACGCGTTCGGCGTGGGCGAGCCGCTGAACGAGACCGAGTTCGGCGTGGGTCTGGTGGTGCGCGGTCGTCACTGGGTGGTGGTCAGCGACCCGGCCGACGCCCCAAGCTACATCGCGACCTCGCCGAAACAGATGTTCATGGCGCCCCAGCTGAGCTTTGCTCCAGCGCCAATGATGACCATGATGCAGTGGCTCAGCAGTACCACTGGTCAAACAGGTGCGACGGATGACCGGTCTTTCAACTTTGTCTTTGTCATTTGCTAGTTGTCTGATCACTATCCCCACTGTTAAGAACCTCGTGACTTCCCCTACTCTCGTCATGTTTTCAGATGCATGTTGAAAAGCATCTCGTGATTTCAGACCCCTTGCTGCTGAAAAGTGATAGAGGATCAAGCTCTTAGAGGAATTTGCGCGTAGTCAGTGTGGTCGTTTCACTGGTCAGTGTGCGCAGGTGGGCCAATGTCCCCTGTGGTGTCCCAGCTCTGTGTGACGCAGTTCACAGGCATGGCAGCCTGGTGTCTCCAGTTCAGTTCCAGCTCTGTGTGCTACAGTTCACAGGCATGCGGCCGCTGCCTGCCAACGTGCACCTGCTGACGCTGGAGATGTACAAGCCGAACCAGCTGCTGATCCGACTGGAGCACCATTCCAGGCCGACGAGGATCCCGTGCTCAGCAAACCTGTCGACGTTAACCTCAAGGTCAGCTGGCTGCATGCATGTCGTGATCCTTGTCATCATTTGTGACGTGCAAGGACAGGATAATTAGTTTGCATTAATGCACGTACACACAAAGTGACCTCTTGATGGATGTATTGCTGGGAGTGTGGCTGCTTTCATTACAACTACCAACGCATGCAACTATGATGTCAGCATCCGCACACTTAAAGGGAATGTCCCACGTTTAAATATCTTGGAGCAGACATCGAGCAGACAGACAGAGCAGATGATGAAATAAGCTATTGGTACTGCTTTTAGTGGAAAAGGTTGCTCTAGACAACCAAATTGCTCTATTTACTTAGTATTCCCAATGCGTCATTGCTTGATTACGTATTAGACCGTTTGTATGACGTTGAGGTGCTGCCAGACTGGCTGTGCGAATTCGCCACCCAAGCACTCACTTGCAGTACTTGGATTTCCCGAATAGGTGGCTGTGGCGGTGCGGGAGGTATTTCCTGAACCAAATATGGCTATATGCTCGTGCTTTTGCCCTCTCTCGTAGGGTTCTTGCATGTTTATCTGTGAGTGTAAGGTGCTTACTTGTATTCGCAGACTTCGTTATGGGCTTTTCTTATGTCATTTGATTACAAGTACTCTTTCCGTTATACCTTATACCCACCTCCAGCTCCTTGTATAAGGTACCACAAAACTGTTCACCAAAGAAAATCACGCGATTCGTGGCTGAAACTTACGCAGCCTGCACAGCATTGGTTCGGAGCCAAATGACGGCCGTTATTGTGGAAATCGTGTCCATGAACGCCAGTTATGAACGACTCGACGGAGATATTCTTGTTGACATTGAACGCCGAATGGCCACTGAAATGGCGGCATTTGAATGACGTTTGTATGGCGATATACATGCCGGAATGATCTTGAAATAGTTTCCACGAAGTAGACTGCGTATCTTCGCGGGTGTGTAGCTTAGAAAATAGAGGTTTTAGGTCTTAAGAGGGACAGGGCTCTGATCTGCACCAAATGGTCTTCAGGATGGCTATTTCGGTTTAAAACCCTAGGTGGTGTAAAACCCAAAACACTTGTCGAACACTCCCTTTAACTGCAGGCTGGCGCCATTGCAAAGTCCGAAAGGTGTGAATAAGAAAGCTGTCATGACCTTGAGGCTAATGCATTTAATTTACCGGGCACTTTCGCTCCCACTGCAGCAAGCCCACGTGTTCCGTTCAGATATATTGTGGCCTGTGGCAGGATCTGTTCACCACCCTGAACGTGACGTCAGTGGAGGAGTTCGGCCTGTCGGCTGACAGGCCTCTGAAGGACATCAACCGCTTCCACTGGGATCACATGCGGTCCAACCGGCTGCCCACGAGCTTCCGAAGCCCTGCATCTTGGGCGTACCGCGGCAAAAACGGCGAAAACGACCTGCTCACGGTACGTTCAGAACGACTTGCTGACGTTGCGCGCAAACTGACCCGCCTAAAGTACGTCAAGAATGGCC